TTCGAGGGTGGAATACACCTCAAAATCTACATTGTGCTATTGGTGTATTTCCTAACCACATACATTTACAAAAACAACATTCAGTTTCTAACATAACTGCCAAATTTCCTTAAAACCTCAGAGTAAATGTAAGAAACATAGCACTTTGAACTATACGCACTGACTTCCGACTCATACGGCGCGGCGGCCCCAGGACGGGTACAGAGTCCGTGGCGGTACGGCTAGGATAAAAAGAGTTAATATGATGTCAACCAGTGACAACCTGCTAGACTAACTACAACACTATAACGCATCGCCGTTGCATCTGGACACCAAACTACACGAGTTCAATCAGTGAGTATCTTGCCGCTTTAAATCATTAAATAACTTTCCTCGTTTTTGTTTGTTGATTTTCAGTTCTCTTTTCTGACTTCTCATCAACCCCCCCTCCTTCGTTCTTTTTTTGTGTGTGTGTGTGTGTTTATTTGTGCTATCTTTAAATAATCTCAGTAATTCTCGTTCCATAAATTTAGCCTATACCATTCTGTAGCTCCTCTTTTCCTCCCCAAAACAAAGTTGTACGCACACAAAACACACGCACGCACACACACAGTAGTCGGCAATGAAACCCACCTCGCATTGCCTAGTGACGTAGCCCATCACGCGCTAAGCGGGCCCGCCACAGCGCGGACAAAAGCCCACAGAGGAAGTGCAATATCTTGGTAGTAGAGAATCTTTTATCCTACCTCTTTGATGTGCATGTAATACGGGTGATATACTTAATGACTTTATTTCTGGGAGAAATGGCTGATATTATAGGTGAGTATATACAGTACACGACAGACAAAGCTTATCAGGGGTTTTTATAAATATAAAAGAAAACTCACCTTTCCCTTTCTGTGGTAAGGTGCAAGTTGTGAGGGGCTACAGCATGATTCAGAACTAGATAGGCATACTCAAACGCATTCTTGACAAACATTGCATGATATGAACCACGGCCAATGTCATTTCCTGTGAAAGAAATAACCAATAAATTAAATTTAAAAGAGACATAACTGAACTGAAAAGCAACTGATCACCGCTCTATAAAAAGACATACAATTTTTAAAGAACATAACTATTTCTTTTAATACAAAGATCCAAAAAGGGATCAAACGTGAAGAGTCCAAATGATTTGTACACATGAAGGTTGAATTCTCCATAACACACATACAATGACAATAGGTTGATAAAATAAAAATCATGGAAAATGACAAGGAAATTCTTTGTACTGATGACAATTATGAGATCATTGATCCAGGTAGGGTCCTGCCTGCAAACCTTTCCTTCATACGTGCAAAAATAATTCTAAGAACTAAATACTAAAAGAAAAGATTTACAAGTCAAAACCTGTGACACCATAACACACCTGCTTTCAAAGGGTCTTCGATGCACAGAACTGATGGTCTGTACCCATTCTCCATCTCTTTACAAACTTCTTCCTTCGGCAGATACGCGCCACCATTCTTTATCCGAATGGCAGTCTTGAAATAGTTGAAGTTGCGACCATACAACTCAAAAAACTCAATCAGCAGAACACCTAAGTTGGGTTTCACATTGTTGGCCGTAAATCCACGAGGGTGAAGCTGAAGACACAGAAAAGTGAGATACAAAGTGTGATTCGTGGAATAATTTGAAGTTTATTTCTTTACAAAGATTTTTACTGATGGAAAAAGCAAAAACAGCTCCATGTCAGGTAATGCCACTAGTCCTTTGTTATGATGTGAATAGCACCTCATCCAAAATCTTTAAAATAGTCACTTCGCAGCCCAAAATTGCACTGCTATAATCAAAAATCCAAATACCATGCCTTTGAGATATATGTAACCATGATCAGCAGAGTGAGGAGTATTACACAATACTAGTACTATAATTCAGAAATTAATGCGATCGAGAAAACAAAAGCAAATTAAACAAGTACTAAGCCTCTGAAACACATTCTGGTTGTACAAAAATATCACAACTTAATTCTTTCCAAAAACGGTTACTAAGACTTAAAGAAAAAAAAGTGAACAGTTTACCTGGATAAAGCTGATGACCAGCAGGGTGAGACTGTATGAGGAAATGCCACCAGTAAACACCTCGTTGAGGTCCCTCTGGAGCAGAAACTGTTTGAGAGTCAGCACCAGGTACTTGAGGCAATCGTATTTGTCCATGTACTCCTGAGGAGACATCCAAAGCACAATATATTAGAACAAACATCCAAACAGGTAAATTATCAACTTTCACACGGCTCAATCTCTTTGTCTTCTACTTATTCCTCGCTAAATTTCAGAAGTTAGCTGGCTGGGTATTTCAACCCATCGCGCAAATGTTTAGGTTTTCTTCAGGTTAATGGCTTGTTTTCCTACTTAAGTACAGTGTCTTGTCTAATGTACAACAACTATATACCATTTTCAAAAGGATTTTCTGCCCTGCTAGGTTTTTGGGAAAAGATTTATTTAGAATGTGGAAATGCTGATGTGGAAAGGAATCTAATGTTATTTTCCGACCAGTTAGACTACCACATTTATACTCCTTACAGGGATAGTTCTACACCTGACACAGAAGTTTGTGAAGTCACAGCTAGATCTAGATCTAGTTTGAGGCACATAAATAGTGGTGACTAGAACATGCTTCTCTAAGCTTGCTGGTCATTTTGAGCGACAAGCAGCAAGTAGACTGGATATCTTTTTTAAAAATCCCGATTGTTTCAACTTAACGCCTCTGTATGTACATTCTTCTTATTTATTTCTAATAAATGGCAATTGTTATGTCATCTGTAAATGTCAATTGTTCAACCATGAGTTATATGAATTTGCTTCAACATGTTTTCAAACTGTTATTACTCTACAATTTGATGCTTGTAAGTAAAATGTAAGCCAACAATACTCATTTAAAACATGACCTGATCATTTTGGAAAATGAAAAACATTTATGCCATTAAACTAAAAATCAATTCCGTGATCAATGCACCAGTATACAATGTAAACTGAAGCCTCCGTTTCTGTCACTCATTAATTTAATAGTCTGTCACTCATTATGAGTGACAGACTATTAAAACTCGTAGTCTCAAAGACTTTGCACAATAACACCAACAGAAACAAACATCTTGTTATTACAAAAGATGCTACCTTTGACTAATGTAGACCTAATTTAAAAAGCACGGCATCAAACACAACAACTACTAACAGTGCACCAGATTGCCACACATGCTCTGAGAACAATGTGACCATTCCATTAATTCTTTTATACCTTTTTCATTCATGGAAAAAACAAAACAGACATACACTGTAACAGAAGACATAAGAACATTTTATATCATAAAAAAATACTAAGGACCTAATTATTTTTCAAAATCTTTATACCTTGATCAGCTGTGCACTTTCAACTCCGTAGTTCTGATTGCTGTCCATGTTAAAACTGACATCCACCTTGACCTCAGACTCAGCATCTGTCAGTTTCACAATGGGAACCTAGAAACAACAAAGTGTTGTTAAAATTAGCATAGAGCATAACAGAAAAAAAGGAAAACCCAAAAGGTAAGAGGAAAATCAATATCCCAAAGAGTACACACATAAAGTAAACATACCGACAAAGAGCCATAAATCACTATGTACAAAGCAGCGTAACAGCTGGGCTGTTCTGTACATAGTACATATAGTCCTGTGTGGGTGTGGTTGAGGAAGTTAACTTCTCTGTCTGAGGACAGAGCAGTCAATCCAATACTAATGAGCTCCTGGTAACATTCACTCATCTGCAGTGCACTTAGTTTGCCTATCAATAGCTGCACAAGTACAATACAGGGCAGCCCGATGGATATATATATATCAAATTTAAGAGCAAATAATTATACTGTACACTTGGCTTGGAAAAAAAAAATTTTATATCTCAATTTCACTTAAGCATTGCATGAGCCTATTTGTTACTGGCTGGACCTTAGAATAGTTGAACATACATTAAAAGGATATACTGAAACTGAAACCATTCACAGAAAAGAAATGGCTTCCACAGATAAAGCAATAAGATCTGCACATTGTATAATGTACACACTTCTGAAAGTGAAACATAAATTCCTTGTAAAGTGCTGAGGGGAGGCACAAACATGACAATATGTATAACTGAAATATAGTTTTGAATGATTTACTGGTGAGAAAAGGGGTTATCTAAGATATTCTGATAGGTTCTTTATGCCTTCAATTCTATTTAGTTACAACAAGGGATAAAATTGAGCTCTCAGGCTCCCAAAATGATGAAATGATGTATATCAAATTGAAATTAATTACTTGCTTTTAGCACAATCAATATAATTGAAAACAGCTGTGAAAATTAGTAACAAATAACACCAACTGACCAAAGAAGCAAGTTTGTGTTTTCATTAATAGTTTCGACAAATGCATGAGTGGAAGAAATTTTAACCAAGAAAAATCCTTTCATTCTCACAAGCACAATCTTTTATCTAAAGAAAAATCCCCCTGAAATTAGGAGCAAACACTTACAACAATGCAAGCTTTCAAAGTGAATTTTTTTTAACGAATTGAGAAAAATCTTCATTATTTTAATCCCACCCCCCTCAAAATTAACCTTTAAAAATAGGCGAAATGCCAGTACTAAAGAAGAACTGTCATAATTCAGTGTCAGCATTCTGAAAGGCCTATTCAGACCTGTCTTAATCTTTTTTCTTCTCTTTTGTGCAGTTTCATGACCTAGTTATATGTGTTCAGGACATAGTTTTCCATCTACAGATGAAAAAGTTGAAAATATCAATATTTTAGCAAAAGCTTGAAAACACTGCCATGAAATCTTAATAACATTACTGATCAAAATTAATTTACCCATGCATACATATCATATTGACCAATATTATGTAGTTAAATTGAATACTTACAGAGGCTTTATCCAAAACTTTGATGGAAGAGGGTTCTGCTAATTTCTTTTCCAGCAAAGCATTCTTCAGCGTAAACAAAGGCTGAGAATTCCAATTTCCAAACACAACTAAATCTATATCACTGCAGATTTTAAAAAAAGCAAATTATAAGTACAAAGTTTCAAAGGAATTTCAAAATCAAATTTATAATAAAAAAATTTGTCACACTTCAAATTTATAAAATTTCAGTGTACCTCACCCTGAACTATGAATACTTGCAATTTCCAAAGATCATACTATTGACTGCTTAGTGTAAGACTTCGGCATATTCCATTTCAAATTGCGCTGTCAATATATTCGTTTTAGTGGAATGATGCTTCGTGAGGAATTAAAAATATTTTTACCCAAAAAACTGAACAAATTGAATCGATACAAAAAGTAGTGGTGCAATTGATCGATCAAATTTTTCGATTAACCGAGCAAGATTCTTGGTCGAGTAAATCGACCAAAGTGGTTTCTTGACCGAGCAAGACATCAATCAAACGCCAAAATTAATTGTCGCTATCAAACAAACGCGAAACCCATATTTTGTCATTGCATCGTTTTGAAAACAAGCAAACTTCAAACTTTTAACAAAGTGCAATAAGCATTTACGATTTCATAAAATGTATTTTTATCCTCATAGTAGAATCTGTTATAATTATCCAATATAAAAGCCTGTATCATTTTCAGTTTTTGACGATCGTGTTTTTATGTTCGCCATTTAGGCTTTCCGGAGGATGGTGCTCCTGGGTAACTCTCAAACAGGCAATTATGAAACTTCCTCGAACAAACATCAATCAAACGCCAAAACTAATTGTCACTATCAAACAAACGCGAAACGTAATATTTATCTTTGCCTCATTTTTAAACTTCTTGCTTTAAAGAGAATTAAATAACAGTTATAATTCTGTAAGATGTATTTTTAATATAATAGTAAAACTGGGAGCTCATTATTAAGTACAAAAGCTAGTGTCCTTTTCAATTGTTGACTGCCGCGGTTTTGTGTTCGTTATTTAGGCTTTTGGGATAATGGTGCTCCTGGCTCCTGAGTAAACCTCAAACTGGCAATGATGAAACTTGTTCGAACAAACAGCAATCAAACGCTAAAATTACTCGTTGCTGACAAACAAACGCCAAACATATTTTAACGTCATAGCATTAATCAAAATAGAATAAAGTCGTATATTTCAATTATAAAATAGCTGCCCAAGAGTACATTTACTATCAGATACACAATTGGGAATCTTGTTGAATGTCAAAACCCAGCAGCCACTCTTTATTTTTAGACTGTCGCGGTTTTTTTAAACTGCACTGAGGGTAAGAGACATTGAAATGGCTGTGCTCCTGACTGGAAAACCAACAAATTGGCAAATGTCTCGCGCCACCAGCACGAAAGCGAGACAAGTGTGTCAACTTATCAATATTCATAACGGAACATTTTATTTTTAGATCTAGCCAGGTTTATAATGAGGGTCATTTCATCATATCTTTTCGCGCTAGGTCGTTCTCTTCAAAAAGCATATATGGTACCATTTTCTAAATGATTTACTGACAGTACAGCAACAACAATATAAAAACATATTAAAACCCATAAACCCAGGCCCGTCCAACATGCCAGCTGCAGAATCGTAGGCTTACTAGATCTACGTCTGGGCCTACATGACCTTGAGACACATCGTCTGTAGGCTAGATCAGTGTTGTTGTTGTTTTTACTTTGTCCGATCATCTGATTTATATCATGCAAACCAGTGACCCACTGGCATCTATACAAACCAAGTCTTTATTTCAGTTCCTCTTCATTTCTCTCTGCTCTCATTCTGACTTCGTAAGCCAGAATATTTCGTCCCATCTCTAGACTTGTTCACATTCTCAATCTTAGTAATTTGGATGCTTTCCTCTTTTTACTTAAATTAATTTACAGTGGCGTCGGTGGCCTAGTGGTTAGGCTCTCGGACTCGCAACCGTAAGGTCGTGGGTTCGAATCCCGTCAAGGGCCCGACGTTGTGTCCTTGGGAAAGGCACTTTACACGAATTTTCCTCACTTCACCCAGATGGGAATGGGTACCCGGCTATAGACAGCGAAAGATCTTGTCAGTTTGTTAGTGTATGAGCGCTTAAATGGCTGCTCGCACTGTATGCTTCCCGGGAAGCTGAGAATGTTTCGGAGTGTTCTATGGTCTGCTGGGGTAATAATATAGTGTTAAAGCGCATAGAGCCTGCTGTTGAGCGGGGATATGCGCTATACAAATGCTATCTATTATTATTATTATTAATTTCAACGCTTCGACTTTGATCTGCAACTTGTTATTCTGTATTACTGTACAGATTTTTGTTTCTGTGTCTAGATCTTTACTTTTCTTGAAAAACACATAGAATAAATACCAGCACAATGAATTAGCCTAACCTATTCATAAAATATGCTCGATCTGGGCGAAGAAGCAAAAAAAAGGAGGTAAGATTGAAGAATAGGCCTACCGGACCGGCGGATTAGGACAGCTTTTGCCTATGTCTCGACAACCTTAGGAATCCATGATTTTCCCCAGTTTTTATCCACTTTCTCTCTCCCCCGGGGGGGCCAAGTTTGCCCCCCCCCCCCCAAAAAAAAAAAATCCTTTCCTCAGCCCCCCCCCCCCCCCCCCCCATTCTCTCGCAATAATACGAGTGGTCCGGTATTCTTCAATCTTCCCGAAAGGAGCAATAAAAATACATATTAAACAAATTAACTAACTTTGCACGCTTCTTCTAGATCTACAAGTTAGTACAACTAGATCTAGACTCTTATTTTTATACCGCGCGAAGCGACGAAGACCAAAAGCTGTTTTTAGATCCAGACATCAGCTGAAAAATGCGTGCTTACAGCGCAGCTGCGATGACTTTTGACCCCTGCTCGATCTAGATTTCCTGGCCGAGAAAAATTTTTTCGGTCAATTTCATCGGTTAACCGAACAATTTTGCATTTAACCGATCATTACTCGACCAAGATTTTTCGCTTACTCGCACACCACTAACAAAAAGATTGTCCGAAAAGCCTTCCGAGTCTGAAAATAGTGCTATCCTATCCAACAAACTCAGTAAAATGATATCAGATTAAAATGTAAATCAAGCAAACTCAGAATAATAGGTACACTCCATTAACTTGACTTAACATTTTTTAAAAAATCTAAGACATGGTGTCGCTTATATATCTTAATTACTGGACAGATTAGATAAACTATAGTGTTTTGCATCTCTTCTAGTCAAAATTAGTACCTCTGAATACACTACAGTACGTATAAAAATAACTATTAACGAACACAAAAAGCAAGCAATCACAGACAAATCTTTACTGTCCCTCATTTAAACTTTATGCTTAAGATAACCATTTAATCTGTCACACCCCCCCCCCCCCCCCCCCCCCCACAAAAAAAAAACACAAAAAAACCCAATCCATTTCAACTCACCTTGTTGGTAAATACAATCCTGTTCTGAAGCTGCCAAAAATTTCGACCTGTTGATCATGAAAATAAAGTTGAAACTTCAAGCACACAAATGAAGAGATAATGGGCTTCTAAGATACACAAACCTTTACCTATACACAACCATCATCATGGTTAGTGGTCAATTTATTATCATACTCCCATATCTTTGTCTCAAAGAAAACATTTCAGATGAAGTTTGCAACAAAATTAACAGAAAAAATATACCTCCTGATACTTAAGCAGTCCCCAAACCAATAAATACCATAGATACAACAGTGGACCTGGAAGTAACAGACAATAATCTCAGCATTTGAATACAAGAAAGAAAGAATGTAACAAACCTTGGCTTCTGGCCAAAGGCCTTGTATCACAGACGTGAGCCTCTCTACCACAGCATTGCGCATGGTGGCTTCTTGGTCCTGTGGCGACATGTACTCATAGAAATCCTCGATTTCTTGATGAAGCCTGCGGAACAAATGAAGACCAATCAAAGCTCTGGTCTCAATTGCAGTTTGATTTCTAACTAAATGTTAGCTTAGTTTTAGTTATAGAGTTTTACGGCACCCGCAACACAACAAGGTCATATAAGTGCCACAGATAAAAGGCATTACCAGAATAACAAACACAAAAAAGGAGAGATAAAGACAATAGATAGGAAAGGAGAAAACCACACCAAGGCACCTGCCAACACCCACCAGTACCAAATAGAAGATTTTAAGAAGCAAAATATTTGTTAAAAGGGTAGAGTGTGAGTTTGTAACTGAGTAAGCATGAAAAACAAAGTCATAGTGAAAAGAAAGAAGTTGAGCAAACAACAGGACACCCACCAACATCGCCTGGAATACAAGAACAACTTTGACAATTCTGAAAAAAATATAATATATTATATAGATGCCCTGGATAATAAGCCACATGCATGTGGCACAGACAGAGAAGGGGGGGGGGGTGTTGGGGTGTGTTGGGAGAGAGGAAGAGAATGGGGGACGGAGGGGGAGGGGGAGGGAGAGAGAAAGAGAGGGGGAGAGAGAAAGAGAGATGTTTAGTTTGTTATAGTAAGGTTTTACATCGCTCACAGAAAACAAAAACATGGTATCTCTAGATTCAACTTTGATTGTTTTTTAGTTTTCGTAAGAGTTTTACGGCACTCGCAACACAGTAAGGTCATATAAGAGCCGAAGACTACAGGTGTTACTAGAGTAACAAACACAAAATAGAAGGAGGGGAGATAAGGACGATAGATGTTTGATAGGAAAGAAGGAGCAAACCACACCAGAGCACCCGCCAACCACCCATGATAGTTTCCCCACACAATGCTCCAGTATTTGTATAGAGATGCAGACCTGGTTGTTTTCAAATGTGAAACACTCGGGGAAAAATATTTGACTTCAGTAAATTTTAAAAATATAGCCTATTTATTCATAGTATAGGAATGTGAAAAAAAAAAATCAGCCAAACATTTTATCAGAAATTACTACATTAAAAAGTAATACTCC